GGTTTCACCATATTGGTCAGGCTGGTCTCGAACTCCTGACCTCATGATCCGCCCGCCTCAGCCTCCCAAAGTGCTGGGATTACAGGCGTGAGCCACTGCGCCTGGTCCTCCTTGTGATTTATTACAGGGCAAAAGAGCCCTGGAGAATCTACCTTTTAAAAAGGAACAGGATTCCCTTTGCAGTGTCTTAAGAATACACTAGAATTAGTCAAGCTTAGGTTACAGTCCCTCCAGGTCAGTGATAACAAACGGTGATCTCTGGGATGAAGCAGGCCTGCAGATGTCATTTTTCGACCTGCACAACATGTAATACATATTTTAAAATTATTTGCCAACAAGAAATTTCACATCAAACTGGCTTTTCAGTTTGTCTTGAAACATTTAAAGAATCAGCAACAAAGGGCCCATTTCCAGACCCAACAAAAATCAGCTACACCTAAGTACCAGCTGCCTCCCTTTAAAGAAAGTCCCTGTACCCAGAGGGCACAAATTTGTAACCCCTGCTTAGGCTGCAAGTCCTGGACCTCCACAAAATACAATTCCACAAAAACAAATGTATTCTCCAATAAAGGCAATTGTCTAAACACATAGCTATCTATTATAATAACACAAACAAGGTCTGGTTTATACCTTTGGATGATTTATGAACAAGTACAAAACAATTAGATAACAAAATACCAGAATGGCTGCTCCGGGGTTGACAGCTCAGATGGTCGTACTTCAGTCACCCATAAAGAACTGATGAGTGGGGCTCCATAGAGTTCTCTGCCTAAGATTTTCTGAATAAGGTGGGCTTAGATTTTCTGAAGACATTCTTAGATTTTTTAAAGAAGGTGCTATGTTTTCCAGACCTCTCACCCTAAAATCCAGACCAAAGCTTGCAAAATTCTCACCTTGGCAGCCCCGATCTGTTCCTTTCGAAACTTCTCCAAGGGAGTGATGAGCACCTCGCTGGCATTCTCAATCTGGTGAAGAAAAACAGAGTAGCGGAAAGAAGACACAAAAGCAGTATCAGTAAAGAATTACGCAGCTCCAGCACGAGATGCCTCCCCATGTCTTAAGATAAAACTTGGGTAGGCAGTGTTGTACGTGTCAACTGTTTACAACCCTTGAACTAATAGCATGTCAAATCAAAACTCATTATTTCAAAACATGATAATCTTCCTCCCATGCATGATTAATATTGATTCTTTAAAAGTAAAAATGAGGAACTCTAAAACTGTAAGCAACCATCTGAAGGGGCAGAGAGGAATTGGTGAAAGAGTGGGGTATAAGTTACAAGCTTCAGGTGACATTTTCTTGCAAATATTCATTTACCCAAGTTATAAATAAAACCTTTCAAGCCTGATTTTGTGTTGCTCTACCAAGATAGGACTAGACTAGAGCCAGGACACCTGTGGCTCCTGACTACTGGCTGCCTCTCAACTTCATCTCACAGGGCTCATCCCTCAGGTCCTGCATTCCAACCCACCAGCACTCCAATGCACCTCAAATGCACCAAACTTGTCCCACTTCAAGGCCATAGCATTTGGCTATTCCTTCAGACACTGTGTTCCCAAACCCTTACAGGGACAGCTCCTTCATGTAATTAAGGTTTCAGCTTAAAGGTCACCTCTTTAGGGAGGCTTCCCTGATTACCAACATAACTCAACTTCCCTCCCCTACCAAGCGTGTTCTGGTTCACCACTACACACTACACATTTATACACACACACACATACACACATACACAGATACACAGACACACACATACATATATATACATCAGTATCTTGTAAAGGCTCACTTTGCCACCACTATCCCCAAAACAAAGAAGAGTGCTGAGACAAAGGGGCACTCAAACATTTTTGAATGACTAAATGCATGAATGGATTATTTCTTGATTGACTGCCAACTGTGTGACCACGGGCAAAACATTTAACCTCTCTGGGCTCTGATTTCATCATCTGCAAAACGAGTGGGCTAAACTGTCCAGCTCTAAGATTCTATGGTCTTTTCTAAGGCAGTACAATATTTTACAGTTTTTCCTTTTAAGTCATTCATTTATCACTCTTTGCTCAACTAATTATTCCAGGAATCTCGCTGCAACAAAGCATTATTTTTCCTAAACCACATGCATGTCCACTGCAATGAAACTAACCGGGTAAATGCCAGAAGTCACAGATGGACACAGTAAAGAACTAACTGAACAATGGAAGGGACAGAAAAAGTCAAGTTTCCAAATTTATTCCCATTTGCCTTTTTCTCAATTTGGAGATCTCTTATTTCAGAAGAGTGAAATTTAAGCCTAGAGTGTTGTGGTGTTAATCTGTTTGATTTTGTTATTTTTATTGTTATTTGATGTTACTTAATCAGTTCACTTAAGACTTCTCCACAAACCATCTGCAAGTCTCTGAAGCTCACAAAGGTGGGCCAAGCCCCTAAGTCAATGATTCTCAACCTTAACTACACAGGAGAATCACCTGGAAAGCTTTTAAAATTCCTATGTTTAGGCTACACTCCAACTAACTCAGAATCCCTGGACTTACTTAGTCCAAGACATCAGTATTTTTCAAACTCCCCAAGTTAAATCCAGTGGACATCCATGATTGAGAATGCAGTCCTAAGTAGCCGCTTATAACATGAAAGTGCTCATCTGCTCACCTGGGAATCAGGATACCCAAGTCCTTCTCCCAGCCATACTACTACTTGCTATCATCTTTAATAAGACCTGTTTTCTCATCTGTCAAATGAGCAATTGCAGATGGTGAGGAATAAGGTCCCATTTAGTCTAAGATTCTATGACTGTGTAACATCCACTTGGTTCCAACACTGCCTGATGTTGGGGACATGGAAGCCCATTCTCCGCCCTTAAGGAACTCATATTTACTATAGGGCACAGACAGGTACAATGTTTATCAGGACACAATGTGGTAACACAGGATCAGAAGCATGAACTGGATGTTAGAAAATACCAAGGGTAGCCATATAACCCAGGAAGTCAAGAAAGGCTTCCCAGAGAGGGTGCAGCTTTGCTTGCTGAGTTTAACTGAACTGATGAAGTTGTCACAGGGCAAGGAGGTAGAGAAGGAGCTTGCAATGGCCAGATACTCAGATGCAGACAGTAGAAACTCAATTCACTGACATTAATAATAAAATTGCAGAGGCAAGCTGAAAAGTATAATCCAGTCATTGTTCCCTTACCACAGGCCATAGCAATCTGCAGGGTATTCATAGTGATTTGCTTACCACACTCCCACCCCCAAATACTAACTCAGCCAAGAATCAGACTCAAAAGAATCATTTCCCTTTCTCAGGCACCAGCACATGCACAAACACACAAGCTTTCCCTTGCTTCCACCCACCACCAACCCCCACTGCTGCCGCCACCACCCTTCTGATTCTGGTTCAGGCACCAGCAGTGAGCAATCAAGAGAAACTGCTCTTCTGTAGGGCAGAAGGTAAGAGGCTTCTACTCTGTTTGGAGTTTTAAAGGAAGCCTCCTTTTTTTTTTTTTTTTTTTTTGACACAAGGTCTTGCTCTGTTGCCCAGGCTGGAGTGCAATGGTGCAATCACAGATCACTGCAGCCTTGACCTCCCTGGCACAAGCGATCCTCCTACCTCCTCCCAAGTAGCTGGGACTACAAGCATATGCCACAATGCCAGGCTACTTAAAAAAATTTTTGTTGAAATGGGGTCTATGTTGCCTCCAGACTGGTCTTGAACTCCTAGGCTCAAGTAATTATCTCACCTCGGCATCCCAAGGTGCTGGGATTACAGGCATGAGCCATGGATTACAGGCCATTACCTGGCCCCCACATTTTTTAACATAATGCAGTCTTGGGTTTGAACCCAGACTGTACCACTTATTAACTGTGTGATCTGTGACAAGTTACTTAACCTCTGTAAACCTCAATATCTTCATCTAAAAAATGGCGATAATACAGATACCACTTCCCAGAGTCATCACGAGGGTTAAAATAGAAAATGCATGTAAAGTACTTGGCTACATAATGTCTTGGTGAATAGTGTTCAAACTACCAACTGTTAGCATGGGAAGAGAAGAAAATGTTGATTGATGCAAGATTTCCTAGGACTTTGGAGCATTGCTGCCTGAAGACACGCCCTCCTAGTGGAAAATCAGTGGACAGGCAGCAGGGGACTTCAAGTCAGCAGGGGACTTCATTCCTCATATCTTAGGGATATGGAGGAAAATGCAAAGGAACTTCCTGTAGATGTGGAATCTCTTATCTGCTAATGCTGAACTATATCAGAATAAATTACAGGCTGGGCACGGTGGCTCATGCCTGTAATCCCAGCACTTTGAGAGGCAAGGCAGGAGGATCACTTAAGGTTTGGAGTTTGAGATCAGCCTGGGTAATACAGCAAGACCTCATCTCTACAAAAAAACAAAAATAAATTAGCTAGGCACAGCAGTGCAGACCTATAGTTGTAGCGACTCAGGAGACTGAAGCAGGGGGATCGCTTGAGCCCAGGAGTTTGAAGCTACAGTGAGCTATGATGGAACCACTGCACTCCAGCCTAGGTGACAGAGTGAGGCCCTCTCTGTCTGCCAGAACAATAAATTCTAGTACAAAAGATATCTCTTAAGAACCTGGAGATCAGCATTTGACTCTTAAATGTGGACAATGCCACTCTTGAAGAGCTTTTTATAGTTACCTTCATTACAAAGTACCTGTTTACTGGGTCCCTCCTACCTGGCAGGCACTGCACTGGGTGCTTAAAAATGAAAAGCAAAGGCCGGGCACGGTGGCTCATGCCTGTAATCCCAGTACTTTGGGAGGCCGAGGCAGATGGATCACGAGGTCAGGAGATCGAGACCATCCTGGCTAACATGGTGAAACCCTGTCTCTACTAAAAATACAAAAATTAGCTGGGTGTGGTGGCGGGCACCTGTAGTCCCAGCTACTCGGGAGGCTGAGGCAGGAGAATGGCATGAACCCAGGAGGTGGAGCTTGCAGTAAGGCCAGATCACAGCACTGTACTCCAGCCTGGGCGACAGAGCAAGATTCCGTCTCAAAAAAAAAAATGAAAAGAGAAGTGATCCCTGCGCTCAAAGGGCTCTTGATCATGTTCAGTAAGATGGGGGGAGGGGCAGAGTGAGGCACCTTCTTTCTCATTCTGGTGGTGGAGAATCTGAGGCCCAAAAAAGTGAATTCAAAAGATCCACCCTTAAGTCATACACCTTATGAAAATACCTTAAAATGAATCTTCAGAAGAACGTCATTTAACTACGTTGTTCTAAAGTTATCCACCAGAGTAATCCTTTAATATTTACAAAAGGCGTCAAACTCTACAAAGATGAGGCTTGCTGAAGAGCTCAAAACACTCAAATGGCAGAGTCTGGATTTGAATCTAGTTCCTCTGATAACCAATCCCTCACTCCCTCAACATGAACATGCTATCTGGGACCAAGAGTAGCCCAGCCCTACTCACCATCCGTATCCGTTCATCTTCAAGATTCCTGAGGACAGTGGCAAACTCCTGCAAAGATCTTGCTGGAAAAGAGAAAGGGGCCATGAGGCGGAAGGAGTGTCACAGGTCTTGGGGAGCCTTTCCAGCTCTGGCTATTATGTTATGGATTTTAATTCCTTGGCACACACAGATGCCTAAAGTCAATTGCTTCCCAAGGCTCCCTATCTTTTTAATCATTAACCATTAAGGATGACCCAGAAATGCAGGTTAATTCCACCTGGCACTCTAGCTAGGGAATGATTTCTTCAAGGAAAAGATCTGCCTGTTCCTGAGAGTACCCAGGACTGGTGAGATGCTGGCAGGCTTCCAGGCCCCAGGCTGGAAGGGGCAGAGTTCCGTTTAGGAGTTGAAGGATTTCCTGTCCAGATTCAACCTCCTCAACCTTTGTCATGGCGTTGCGTCAGAACCCAGCCTTTTCTTTGGCACCAGAGCTAAACAAACAGTGCTGCTGGCATTGGAAGCCACATCTCTGGCTTCTCTTTGGGTTCCTCCTCTCTGAGTCCTCAAGCCACTCATTAATAGAATGCAGCTTGAAGCATGGTGCTCACACATGAACAGTCATCTTTGCCAAAACTATTCACAAAAGCAACAATTATTATGTGCAGTGGCCCTGAGGATACTTGAGACCCTTAAGCCATGTTGGGAAAAGCATCCATACATTCACAAGTTACAAGGATGCGTTTTCACCACCCTCAGCTGTCTCCCAATTGCCTGTGCCAGCCCCAGATGCTGATATTCTGCACGGCAACAGGAACTCAATAAGCATTTGAAGAATTAATTCATCCAATAAAACTTTCTCAATTCTTGCCCATTTAATGGAGTCAACCAAGGCACCCACAGAAGAACAGTGTGCAATGATAAGGCCCTGGCAAAGAAAGGTGTCTTGACATTGCAAATCCTCCATGCTTACAGCTGCCTACAGATCAAGGCAGGTGATGGTGAAGAGTGAAGCAACACACTGTGGTGATAAACAGTAACCCACCTCAGCCTCTTTTTAAGGAAACAGGAGAGGCAGGGACCTCCCTGTAGACAGCACAGGAGAACCCGACATGGAGCTCCTCTCCCTATCTGAAGGCAGTGGCAGATGCATAGCTCAGCCAACTGCTGTCAGGTCAGAAGAGGGGGCCAGTAGATCAAATTCTCAAACTTTTTGAAGACGCTGGAAAACTGGAATTTTAGATTGTGAACTGAATTTGTATGGTCATTCAATTTTTAAAAAATGAGAGCCAAAGAAAACTGGGCTGTGTTCTGATCTCAGCCTATCATTTTGCAACCTCTGATCTAATTTTGCCCTCATCTACCTGTGTTCCACATATGCTCTAAGCTTAGTACTGTGGTTGGAGGGAAAGAATGTCACCAGTCAGAAAATCACTAAAGGGAGGTGGAAAGGAGAGTCCCACCACAAAACTTCAAGCTTTCTCTCCTGCAAGCTAGAGGGTGAGGCAATCCCAAAACTCAAGAAGACCAGAGTAGCCCCAAGCCCCGATCCTCACATATTTCTGGCCCTCCACTTCCACTAAGCACTTCCTTCTTTACTAACCTTAGAGACTTCCTATCCCAGGAAAAAGGCTCTGCTGGAACACTGAAGGCTATGACAAACAATGAACATTTTTATCTTCTGCACAGTTATGACTTACCTATACACATCTCATCATCTGTTTCTGCATCTCCTATGCACTGAAATTTAAATTCATTTAAGGAATCTGCAAACTTCCGCTTCGCTGAAGACAAATCTAGCAAGAAAAAGACAGGAAAAATCAGGAATTACTAAAATTAAACTGGCTTTCTGATTTGCTGCCTGTGTTGGTCCTTCTAGGAATATCTTAGCAGGCGAATTTGTTCCTGAGTCCATTTCAAAGCACAAAAGAATATAAATTCAAAATAGCCAACCCTTGGTTATAACATGAAGCACTGATTTGTTCTAGAAGTTAATATTTTTGTTATATTGGCTTTAACAATTCGAGTTCTATCTCTACTTCCTAAAGGCAACTTGTCATCTCCATCTGACATGTGGGAATCCACTTGCCAAAGGAAGTTGGGGAGAAAGCTTGGATCAGAGCCAACCTTAGTGTCCACAGCCTGCAGGTCTGCTCTGCTACTGACCCTCCAAGCAGTCAGTGCAGCTTTCCCCACACGTATGACTCAACAATAATTTCCCCTAGGTCCTACTCACAACACAAACTTTCACTAGGGAGGGAGCCTGGAGAAGGCTGGAAGGAGGGGCTGGGAACTGCCCTACTCATAGTACCTGGCCTTCCTCTTCTGACTCAAGCACAGGCGAGGCCCAGGTTCTCACAACCCTCTCCACTCTTCTCATGAGCAGAGTGGACTGCTGGCCTGACAAAGCTCACCTGAATTTTCCTGGCTGGCCACATACAACACCACCAGGAGAACAAAGCCCCCGCAATGTTTTGTATTAGGGTAAAAACACATTCCACGCACAGTATCCATAAGAAAAACTCTCAAGGGCCCTTATCATTAAAAAATCATCATCATAAGCTTTCGCTGAAGATAGTAATGAAAGCCAACGATCCTTCCGAGCCTTCAACTTCTCTTAAGGGTATGAAACCACCAAGGTACCTTTAAGTGGACTGGCAGATCTGGCTGCTGAGGACAAATGTGCTTAACTTAATTCCACGTGCAGTCTCCCTGCAGATTAGGCTAATCATTCAAATTACCCTCATACATGTTTCCCTCATTGAAGGGGAAATGGCATTATGTCCAAATGCCCAGGGGAGGGAAACATGAGGCAGAACCGGCAACAAGGCCTGGCTTTAATAAGATATGGGCAGGGCGGGGGAGGGGTGTATTGTGGCTACACAGATCAACATAACCTACTAGAATAAAAGCATCCGTGACTCCCAGTACTTTTTCTTAGCTCCCGGATTTGTCCCTTGAGGTTAGGGATCGTGTTTTCCATCTTTCTCTTTGGTTTGTTTCCTCTGTGTACCTGGCAGTGTATCCTGCTCAGTGTATGCTGAACAAATGTGGGGGGGCATTGGAGGGGCACTGGACACAAATCCAATCCTCAGTGCTCATTCCAAGCAATGGCTGCCAGTGGAAGAGCCGGGCGTGGGCTGTGCTGCTGTTCTCAGGACCAGGGCTCAGGCTACTGCATGGACAGCAGCTGCAGCTCCTACTCCTGGACTGCCCTCCCACACGCTGTAATGACACGGTCCTGAGCTAGCTGCAGCTTGTCCAAAGCGCTCTGCTCTACACCAAAAGAAGGCACTTGGGGTGGAGAAGGGGAATGCAGGAGCCAACAGTCTCTGATCTCCCCCTCGTTCAGTCACTTGCACAGAATGGTCCTTACCAAAATGTCAAAAGATGTTGGGAGGGGACTCAGGCATCTCACAAAACTGGCCAGCCCAGGCTGAGGCTATCCCTCAGAACACAAATCACAAAAGGCAAACCAAGAAGAAAACAGATGCACCCGAAAGCCAGAACATCGTGGGGAGGAAGGCAGGAGGAGGCCACAGGTAGACACGAGAAAAAAGGGAAAGACTAACATTTTAAAGTAGAAGACAGTGTTCTATTAGAGTCCCCAAATGTGTGTGCATCACATGTGGGTATGGTTATGCACATTCCTATTTTAGTCAGAATGTTCCCTGATCAGAACTCACAAAGGTCTGCACTAAGAGTAACACAGGTTTGCCTTTCTACCCACCTGACAATCCTGTGCCTCCCCCATAAGCAAGAGAAACTCAATCACCTCAACAAAGTGGAAACAGGTGAAATGCAAGTCAGGCTCGGGAAAGCTCCCAGCACACACCTGAAAAGCCACACTGCCGAGGGCAGCTGCCAGTGAGGATCAGGGAGTGGCTGGTCATGCACAACGGGGCCTTTGTGAAGCTTCTGCACGGGGGGACCCGCTGAACCAGGGCAGGGCCTGTTAGCTTATGGTGACCTGATTTCCTTGTCCACTGGCACAGAGCACACCCTGCCACAGTGCAAGCCTGAGAAGCAGTGAGGACCCCATGAAGCTGAGGGAGAGGCCGATCCCCGGATAGATGATTAAGTAATGACTGCTGGTATGGAGTCAATATTGGGCTTCAGGTCAACGAGGAAAGCTGGGTAGAGTGAGAATCTTAATGAATGGACCTGAAAAAGGAACTCACCTCAGGCTTGATAGAGGAATTTTTCAGTAAAGTTAAAGTGGACAGCTGTCCTTTTACTTGTTTGGAATCCATTCCCCAGACTTCGGGACAGCATCTCAAGCTTGTTTTTGAGAACCTCCCTTCTCCACTTGCATTCTATGGGGTGGTGGTGACAGGCTGATCAACCCCAACCCCTTGCCCCCACCCCAATCCCACAGCTCCTGGGTTCAAGTTCTAGCTCCACCATAGATCAGATATGTAACCAACCCTGGGTTAGTCATAAAGTGTCAGTTATCTCATCTGACGAAGGCTGTCAGCCTGGGGGTTAGGCAGGGAGGATCCAGTGAGACATACTTTATAGGCACTTTGCACATCACAAGATTCAGTTCTAGGTATAGCTGGGCTGTTCTTTTCTCATATATGAGTCCTCCAGTAAGAGGAACCAGGAAAAGTAAGCATGAATAACTGTTTGGAGCTCGGAGAAGTTAAAGGACTGACATAAGAGCACAAGGCCACTAAGGAGAGGACCTGTGACTTAAGTCCTGTGAACTGAGATCCTTGTAGTATGTGGGAACACCATACCACTTCACCCCATTGAGGTAAACCCTCTATGTTACTTGAGAGAATGAAAACAACACTAAAAAGAGAATTTTCTACCTAAAAAACCATTGCTTCTTGCCTATTTCAACCCAGTAGGATTGGTGGTATCTTTTGTAGATTTTCACCTTGGATATGGAGCATCCCGAAGATTTATTTCAAGAGCTTTCCCTCTGATGCACACAGGAATCTAACACACACATTCCAGTAAGAGGAGAGGGAAAAGAGAAGAGGCTGGCACTGGTGCTGGGTGCATGCCAAGCTTCGTGGCACCCTCCTCATATAACCCTGCTGTTTCATGTACAGGCAGTGCAAGACACAGCAAGGAGCCAAGCAGAGTCAATAATATTTACTTTGCAGAAACATCTGTTGCTAGAAAAGCAGAATGCTGGCCAGAGTGGAGGGAAGTCGTAACTGCCGGCATCTGGGGAGGCCAAGTATCTCCTTTCCAGAGTAGGTAGGGCTGTGCTTCCCTGAGTGAGGGGACCAGATGGCTAAGAAACATGGAAGCAGCTAGAAGTTTGGGCCTTGAGAGACTGCTCCAAAAGCCACCTGCTCACTCAGGGACTAGAGGAAAGTGCCCTTCTTCTCTTAGAGATGCCAGTGGATACTAATCACCGGATTGAAGAAAATTTAACCCAAATAGATCCATCTTTCACTAACACAGAAGGTTTACCATAATTTTTTTTAAATTAGAATCTACCTTAATTTTATACAAGTTGCACCAGTAATACCACAAGTCAAGCCATTTCCTTTTTCTCCTTGGGTAAAACTTAACATACATGTGCACACACAAACATGGACTCAGGTAACCTTACAACTGTATTTTCAGTGTATTTCTATTGCCTTTGTGACCTCCAAAGTCACCAAAATTGTATATTAACTACCCTGAAATGTTTTGCTGCTCAGTCACATCTTCTCTTTGGACTTAGAAAGTGATTACAGTTCCAGGAGGCCAAGGCGGGTGGATCACGAGGTCAGGAGTTCAACACCAGTCTGGCCAACACAGTGAAACCACATCTCTACTAAAAACTAAAAATACAAAAAAAACAAAACAAAACCTGGGTGTGGTGGTGTGCACCTGTAATCCCAGCTTCTTGGGCAGGCTGAGGCAGGAGAATCGCATGAACCCGGGAGGCGGAGGTTGTGGTGAGCCAAGGTTGCACCATTGCACTCCAGCCCAGGTGACAGTGTGAGACTCCGTCTCAAAAAAAAAAAAGAGATTACAGTTCAGAAAGGCCATCACTGAGGTTAGAACTTGCAACAGGATTGGCCTTGTGGCTGCCTAAAGCATAAGAATACCAAAGTCCCCGGGTCTTGTTAATCTCTCCCTTTCCTGGACGCCAATTATTCTCTGTGCCTCATCACCTTGTATTTGGAATAATTCTGGAACTATTCATGAATGGCTTCATGTCACGAAGCACAAAGAGTGCCTCGGAGAGGGCTGGACACAGTGTCCCTCAAAACCTGTTGTACTGATGTGACTGGGCAAGGAAACACAAGCTGGCGTACAGGTGAAACACCTGAGAGTCCCCAGAGAGGACCCATGACAGAGAGCTGAGACATGGACAAGAGCCCCAGAGAGGCTTCAGGTTTAGCTTACACCCCCATTCCTAGGTCAAACTCAACACACTCAAAACCAAACTCTCTCTACTCAAACACCCTCTGCCACCCTCTCCCCAGAGAGCCAGCCGAGGGCCTCTTCCTCATCCCCAGCGTGATGAAGGGCACCGCCGTTCACCCTGCCACACAAGTCACCAGTGCACGTCATCCTCTCACACGTCAGGCTCCTTCATGTGCCATGTCCATTCCCAAGTCTGCCCATGTTGTCTCCTAAGCACGTCTCAATTCTGCCCACTCCTTCTCATCACTATCAGCAACCCCTAAACAAAACACTCCATTTGCCTACATAACTGCAACTGCCTCCTCTCTGGCCTCCCCACATCCACTTCTGTCCGTCACATCAGTTCTCCACCCAATTATGTCAACACCAGCAATGAGCCCTGTGATGGCTTCCCAGAGCGCTGGAGGTGAAGACA